TTTGTAGGCATTTTTCTCTTTCAGTTTCCCTCCTTTCAAATAACTAGCTTATTTTAAGTTGACATAAAACTATCCAGTTCAGACCCCATCCCACTGCTTTTCCTCTTTGACTCCTCACTATGAGGTTGTGCCTTTGCATGTGCTCCACACACGGCTCCTTGAGCTGCCACAGGTTCAAAACAATGAGGCCGGTCTGTCATGGATTAGAATCCCCAGAACTGAGCTTAGGGGGACCTTTTCTTTTTAAGTTGATGATATAAGTCTGTCGCTACAGAGATGGAAAGCTAACATACTTTCCACTTTCCAGGGTTTAAAAGCACATCTGAGGATGGCTTATCAGTAAGACTGGTATAAAGATTCAATCTGAACACAAGGCCCAGCACACAGGGTGAATTTATGGAGAATTAACTTGACCTCTCTGAGTTTTACTCTCCCATGAAACGGGGATAGTGATGGACTTAGGAACACACTCCGTAGTCTCTGGATCTGAGTTTATCCAGAGTTAGATGTGGATTCTGTCAGAGCAATGTCAGGAAAGCTGATCAACCCCTTTGAACCTCTGCTTCCCTCTCACAGAACAACACTAAGCATGGCACGAATCCCAATACCTACCATGCAGAGCTGTCAGGCCAACCAAATGAGTTCACAGTTAAAGTGCTCGGAACAGCACCCGGTACTCAGTGCTTGCTGGTGCTATTATCTTAAAGCGTTGCTGCAAGGATCTGAAGCACTCATTTAAAACGCCGTGCGGAGGAGTGGATGCGCAATAAACTTGCTGGCACCTATCGTTAACGACAGGCATTCCTTACTGTGACTTCTCAGACCATTACTTTTTGTGGGGGACCTGTTGTCCAAGCAAGTGGGATGAACATGTGACCATGCTTGGTTGATCAGAGAACACTGTCATGTTAGCAGTCACCATCTGCTGAGACAATCCCTGTAGGCAAGCTGAGGAGCCAAGCTCCCCTCAGTCCTTTTCCACCAGGATGTTAAGAATTCCCCGGGGGCTGCAAAATTAGCACACTGCACGTTTTCTGCTTTGACTCACAGTGTGCCTACTGTTCCAGGGATGAGACATGAAGTCTAATGACATCTCCTAGGCCCCAGTTGTTCCTGAAGTCTTTACTACCACTGGACTCTTCTCAGGCACAGGAACCGATAGATTTCCTCTTTGGATTCACTAGACTCTAGTCTCATTCCTGTCCCTTGGAAGTAAGAAGTATTATTAACAGAGCACAGGCTGTCAACAGCGATTGCTTCTCTTTTCCACCTCCATTTCAAACATGTCTTCTTACACCACCACTGCCTTTCCAGAAGATGCATTGTGCTTTGATTGTGACATGCCCTCCATAGGCACAGCTTTTTAAACTCTTGGTCTCCAATGGTGATGGTGTTTCAGAAGGCTCTGGAACCCTTAGGAGGTGGAGCTTCTCTAGAGGAAGTGAATCACAGGGCAGGGCAGGAACTGAGTTTGTTTTGTTTTGTTTTGTTTTTTTAAAGGCATAATCTAATCCTCTTTCCTGTCTGTTGTCTACTTCTGAACTGTGGATGCAATGGAGACAGCAGCCTCTTGCTCCTGTCACACCTTCTCCATCACAGTGGAATGTGTCCCTCTAAACTGTAAGTCAAAATAAACATTTCTTCCCTTAAGTTTCTTCTTGTCAGATAGTTAGTCACAGCGACCAGCAAGGTTAACCCACTGAAAAATGAAGGACTTGAACCTGGAAGAAGAGGCTGGATCTAGGAGGAGTTAGGGGGAAAAGTTGGGGCTGGAGACGACCAAATACATTAGAGACATGCATAAAATTCTCAAAGAATTTATAAAAAATCCTCTGGTTAAACACTGGACCTGAAGAAGTTTGGCCCTATAAGCAATAATAAGAGCAACACCCAGAGTGTTACCCTCTCACATGGCCTGTTCCCAACAGGTTGGCTGCAGGGTCCATGCTGAGCCTGCCAACCCAGGGAACTGGCTTACTGCGTCTACTGAGAGGCGGAGTGCTCTTCTAGGAGAGCTGATGGCATATGTATACACACCCATGATTGCACATTTATTGATTTTCTAATTTGTACCCTGCTTACTTCCAAAAAGGCCCTGAAGTGGCTCACAAAATAAGACAGAGACATAATGGAGCCATTAAGAAAAATCAAAGATCAAGCCCAAAGAGAAAAAGCGATGGCTGATTATCGCTACAACCTGAGTTAATACAGTGGCTTTGGTTTAAATATATATTTATATATTGAGCTCTCAGCCTTTAGTAGTCAGTCAGAATGTGTCAGGATTGGGCACAGGGATAGCTAAGTATCCTACACATCTTCTGCTCCATCCTCAGAGCAAAAGACTGGGTTACCATGGGGAACCAAAGGGAGTATACTGAATGAATGAATGGATGAATGAGTGAATGAACGATGAATAAAAGTCCAATCTCTCTGACATCACTGTTTGACTCCTTGTGCCCACATCATTCATGTATCCACCTACTAAGCTAGCCATCATTGTCTGAGCACCTATCTGTGCCAACCTTTGTGCCAGGCCAAAGACCGGCAGCAGGATGATCCCCAAATGAGCTGCACATTGTTCCCAGCTGCAGCTCTCTGGCTTGAGGCAAAATCTTGGCATAATTTATCTCAGTGCTCACTCCAGCTTCGAATTTCCCCCTGTTCCTGAAGCTGAGGCTGTAAAAACAAAATCTCCAGAGGTAACTATAGTTATCCTGGCCCTTCCCCTTCCTCAGCATTCTCAACCCTAGAAAGCACACAATTACACTATTATCTCACTAGGTCCCCACAGTTATCCCCAAAAGGCTGGGAGAAGGGAGGACAGACAGCTCTGTCTACTGAGGAAGATAGTTAGGCACGGAAAAGAGAGGGACTTTCCAAACTCTGTTAGAAAGGGGCAGTTAGAACACAACCCAGTATGTTCCAGCCCCTGGGCCCCACAGCCAGCATCCCAGACACCGGTTAACCACACCTGAAGCCCCTCTGTCTGGCTCCGGATTCTTGGCACAGATGGGCATTGCCTGACGGTTTTAGGGAGACATCTGTGAATAGGAAAGCAGCCCAACCGACACCTAAAGCAATTGAGTCCTCAGATCCTAGTTCTGCTCCCTCAAAACCAACAGCACCTGCAGCCCCCAGAGCTGCCTTCTATCTAGAATCTAATGCTGCCATGCCAGGTGAGCAGCATATGCTTGCAGTACTGGGTAAAGGTGGGATGATAAGGAGCAATGAAGTCCTTCTGGGGGTCGTGGGATGGGCCACACATGGCTACTCTGGGAACCTGGGTGAGTGTCTGCAGGTTCAGCCCCTGTGGGGTAGTCCATCCAGATTGACAATTCTAGAGGAAAAAAAAAACTATCTCCATTGAGCATGCACAAACCTTCCTGGTCAGCATTTCTAACACATAAAATACAACTGTTTATATGGTATCTCTATTCTATTAAGAATGACAAGTCTATACAGGGAAGAGGAAAGGAGGGTGGGATGGGGAGGAGAGGAGAGTAGAGGAGAGGAGGGAGCTACAATTGGAAATGTGAAGTGGATAAATAAATGAATTAATTAAAAAGAATGACAAGTCTAAAGAATGACTTAAAGCACAGGGGACAGTGAGCGTGGTTACTTAGATACAAATACCTCCCAATTTCATATAAGGGACTCAGGCAGCTGAGGACTTAATTATCCATCAGAGCCTGGGAATCAATGCTCCAAGGATACCTAGTGATGGCTGTACAGAGAAGAGGAACGTTAAAAATCAGGGCAGTTAATGGAGAAGCCACTGCTTGTGGAGTTCTGTTTGGCAACCTGGTTATGCATTCCCTCCAGCCACGTGCCCATTCAGGTGGATGAAGATTGCAGGAATGGAAAGGGGGGGGGTCATTTCCCTTCTTACTTTAGTAAAGTCAGCTAAGTAGATGAACAAGAGAACCAAAGACAGGGCATGCACTGCAAGAAGAGATCCTAACAAAGTACAGGTGTGTCCTGCGGAAAGCCAACAGGACCACTGCTCTACCGAACACCACACAGGCCAGGTCCAGCCTCCTTTCTCCTTGAAAAATACATTTATGTGTATATTGTGTGTATGTGTGTGTTTACACACAGGCACACACACACAAATATGTATCCCTAAGGCAGGGCTTAAGTGCACACAGTGACATGTGTTTCCCATTTTCCAGTTTATTCCAGTCTGCATGCACTGTTTGATTGCATAAGGAGGCATTAAACCAGCCACGAAGGAGGGGATTGGTGGCCATAACATGGGAGTCTCCCCAGTAAACGTTAGTGTCTTTTCAGTCAGGCTGGGAATCCCCCTACATGCTAGACACTGTGTTGTTGCATTCAGAGCACCCTTGGGCAACATAGTTCACCCGTCAGCCACTGCCAGCGGGATTTCAAGTTCTCTGTCAATAACTAGCACTTGCAGAGAACACCCATAATCCACAAGTCACGGTCTCTACCACAGCCTGTAACTCTGGCTCCCAAGCTTTTAGGCTGTCACAGTGAATACATGCCTAGAAGTATGGTCACCCAAACCTTTCTGGATAATAATGTGAAAATCAAATTTTCTTCAATTTTCCATCAAACCAGAGACCCAGAGACCCAGGGTTCCTGAACTGTCAAATGGCAAGAAGTGAGCAATGGGCAGGGACTATTCCAGCAAGCAAGGCAGTGAGCTTAGTCCGGACTGATACTAAGGACACACAAAGGCAGCTTCCAGTAAATAATGTCACCCAACCCCTCTCAGGGTAATTCCGTGAATAAGGTCAGACCCAATGGAAGAGTCGCCTCTCTCTTTGCAAGGGGAAAAAATCCATCTCCACACATTGCTGGTCTTCACTGGTCAGTAAAGTCACCCAGCTCTTATAGAAGGAGCAAGAAGTCAGACTTTGCTCTCAAGCTCTGTATGACACGCGTGCTATACTAGGCATCAACCACAATGTCCATGATACTGAAGAACCCAGGCAAGATACAAGATACAGAATACGCAAGTGAATGCTACTCACAGTCTGGTGAGCTTCGGTGTGCTCTGGAAAAGTAATTCTGGAAGGACCTGGAGCTTGTTCTTGTTCAAACGTCTGGTGAAGAAAAGATGAATGAAAGATGTCAAAGGGGTATTAAATATATAGAGCATATACGCAGACAATGCTTTGATCAATCAGTCCATCACCAGGTATTAAGAGACTCTCTAGATCTTTCAGCATGCTATGCTCAACGCATGGAAGGGATATATACCATTACAGCAGAGTTTATAGTCTGGCTAGAAATAGAAATCCCTATTAGTCATACCTAACCCAAATGGCTGTGCCTTCTCCTCCTTGGTCACAGTCTAGGACAGACATCACTCACTGATGACAATCTCCTTTCCTGTGGACTCCAGACAACACTTTTGAGCTTTTCACAGCATAAATTAAATATCAGAAAAAAAATGTTCCAAGTCTTAAATAATGGTAGGATGGGAGCAGACAGCAGTTGCCATAGGAACAGAAAAGAGGGCAAGTCAGATCACTATGGGTTGAAAGACCCAAAACCAATCTCCGCCAAGGGGGTCTTGGGAGCACAGCAGGGCTACATCGTGACATTCACAAGTCCTTGGCTCTTTGGTCTTTCTTGGGCTGCTTTGTCCATAAGAAAATGTTACATATTATAGCTGTGCAAGTCTAAAAATAAGTATGCCACACATCTATTAGGAAGCATTCATTTTAACCTAAAAGTTTGTTTTCTTCTAAGCTAAAATCAATTAAGGCATATTTATGGGATGTGACAGTGTATTGGGTTTTCCTCCCTGCAGCTAATAGAGAATCTGGCCTGAAAAGGAACCCAAACTCTGGCCACAAAGTATGACTTGCAATAAAAACACAGTTCTGTAGAGATAGACCACAGTGGGCAATTGTCAACAGAGCTGTTATGGTTTGAATCTGCAGTGTCCTACACAAACACATGCTTGGTTCTCCAGTGTCAGGGCTATTTGGAGATTCAGTGGAAGCTTTAGAGGGTGATGTCTGGCTGGCAGAAATATATCATTTGAAAAGGGCCTTTGAAGGTTCCAGTATTCTCTCTGCCTTCTGGTCTACTGTGATACAAACAACCTTCATCACATTTTCCTCCACCTCCAAGTGAGCTTCTTATCCGTGCCTTTCTTGCTGTGATGGACTGAAACTCTCTGAAAAAAAGAGCCAATTAAAAAAAAAAAAAAACCAAACCAACTTCTTTCCTTAGCTATATCAGGTATTGTGGTCACAATGGCTCAAAACTAACTAACATAGCCCAAGTTTCTTCTGAGCCTGACTGAGACTAAATGTTCGCAGAAAGGACCTTATAGGTTCCCAAGGGGCACCAAGCTCCTGTTGTTGTGATGTTGGTAAGGGATGCTTTCTTGGAGTAATAAACCCAGAGAGGGGCCCTGTTCCTAGCTGGCTCCATGCTTTTCTGCATCGCATCTACTCATAGGTGAAAAGCAGTTACATGGAGCAATTTTCACCCGTGTATTAGAGCTAAGCAAACTGAGGAGAAAAGCAGGATCTACACCCAACTTCTCAGAAGTGAAGTCCAAGCCTGTTCCTTCCCCTCATGGACTCTAAGAAAATTCAGCTCCAGTAAGGAAGATTTACCTACTATTTCCTTCATTCATCCTGTTTGCAAAAGCTTCAGTGGAAACAGGGACTTTGAAGATGTCAGGAAGGGCCATGCATGAGACAAAGAGGCATTTATAATGTCTTCTAATAAACACATTTCAAAGAGTGTGCAACTGAGCCCTGACAGAGTCTGTGCCATGTAGAGTGGGGCCAGGGATGGTGCTGAGGAAGCTTCTGACCAGAGTGAGGAAGTAAGAAAAAGGGTGGGACATTGGCTAAGAAGAGCTCCAACCCGCTGCCCGCCTCTACAATAGAGGTCTGACTCCATAGTTGTGATCTTTGTTTCTAATTGTTTAGAAATGATGGCAAGGTCATACAACATGGAGTTAGCTCTATTCTCAGTGTCTAAGCAGTTCAGAAGCACACAGCATGGTAGTGTGGGCTAATCTGGCTATGTGACTAATCTCCAGGACAGTTCTGTCTTACACAACTATACTACCTATTAAACAACTCCTCAATCTTCCTAGTAGACATCATTCTGTATTCAGTACCTGTGAGTTTGCTTTCTGCTTAAAATAAATAAAAAAGAAATCACTACAGGTATCCTGTTTGCACACTCTTATCATGCAACTGGGAAGCCCGAGGCAGAGGAAACCAGTCTCCTGCTTGGAGGACTTCCTATGCGGTCAGTGAAAAATCCCTTCATAGCCCTGAAGTCACTGGTCTCACAGATGATCTTAGGACTGGGGCTAGCCAGTGCTGGGTTTAAGTTTGGTTGGACTGTACTCTCACTGCAGAGCCAAGGACAAGTTACTGATCCTCAGTTTTCCAAACTCAGAATGAATCTACTCCTTTGGGTTTCAGGAAGAACCGGCCTAGTGCATGTGGAGTGGCTGAATGTCACGTGAAGGCCTTGGTGACAGTGATGCTAAGGATGGCTGATCCCACCCGCTGCCCTGCATACCGAGTGCTGTGCTTTATGCTGCCCTGGCAGAATCTCATGGTAGAGCTTAAGGCCCAGGTTGTTATTGTCCTTTCCTCTTACATAACGGATTAAAATCCAAGGATCCAGGCCAGACCGAGGCCACAGCATCTCTCGGGGGTGCTGTACCAGGGTCTGGACACAGTCAGCTGGCTTCAGGTCCTGAGCCAGAGCACTCAAAACCTTGACAGAATTAAAATGCCCTGGCCCTTTCCCTTTCTTCACTTTTTTCTGCTTCTTTTTTTCTACAGTTGCCCCTTTCTCAATCCTAACCAGACATGGATCCACTCCAAGCATACTGCCATTCCTGAAAAGGACACTCTTGGTGGCCCTTCAGGCAAGAACTGAGTCTCTCTTTGGGTCTGTCTGGAACCACCTTTGCCACAGCTACAAAGTCTGGTAAGAGTTACATTCAGATACCCAACTCTTGGGTCTAGGCAAACCCCCTAGAATCCAGCCCACTGCCTCTTTCAGTCATGGGCAGGGTGTTTAGTGTGCTAGCCCTAGACTAGTGCTGCAGCTAAAAATAAAGCCAGCCTGGCTCTGAGGGTCCTGGAAGGGAAGGGATAGTTTTCATTTTTTTGCTGGTATTTATGGCTGGACAAAAATAAAAACACAACCAAATTTAGCCAATTGTGCTTTGCCGGTTGCTTCTCAATCCCTGAATAAGGATTCTTGGCCGCCAGGCTGGGCTCTGCTCCCAGTAGCCCCAGGGCCATTCTACTGCTGCTTGGTTGGGTCACATGCCAGTTCTCCATTTCAGGAGCTTAATGTTGTATTTCCAGGTCACTCTAAGGCTTATTTCCTTTTCATTGGTGAAACAACTGGACAAGGGTCTTCTCAAGGCTCTTAGTAGGAACACTAACTTGGTTTGAATGTAAGTGAAACTTCAAGCAAGGAGGTCAGTTATCAGAGCTCTTGAGTATGGAATGGACATAAGAAATCTGTTATCCTGAAAGCTGCAGATGGTGGCTGTTGGCCTTGGTGCTTTGATGCCACCTGCTTTGAAGTGACTCTGGCACTGGAGATGGCAATCTCTAACCACAGTTTGCGCTAGATGAACTGTGGCTGAACATCAAGCTGAATGGACTTGGATGAGGCCAGCACTGATGAGGTCAGCAGGAGGTGGACCATGTCAAGCTAGAACAGGGCACATGCATGTGTCCCCCTTTCTTCTATGATCAGAAGGACTGCTGAGCTTTCCTATGGATCAAGGTCAAAAGTGTACTAGTCGCTCAGTGGCAGCCATAGTTCTTCAACTTCAACTGTGAACCTTAAAGAAACACAGCCTTGTCCTTGTTGGGATGTTGTAGACCCTCTTTCATTTAGCTGGGTATGTCACATATGATCAGAAGTTTTGATGACTGTTGAACTGATTTTTAGCCAACCACAAACCCATCCATCTGTCCAACTCTCTATCCACTATTCATTCCTCATCTATCCTTTGTCCTTCCACCCTCCCATCTCTCCAGTTCTTTTTGAATAGAAGCATGAAAAGACAAGTAAGATGCAATCCATTCCTCAAGACCCTCATATGCTGTTGGGAAAGACAGATGTGAAACACAAAATTACACTGTGATCTTGTAAGCAAAGGTGCTGTAGGAATGTGGAGGAGGGACAGCTAGGCTATTCCTAATTAAAGGAAGTGTCCCAAAGAAAGAGGGGTTGAGTTCAAATTGGAAGGATGAATGTGACTCTTCAGGAAGCATGAACAAAGAATTCTAGGTTTGGAGAATGTGCATTCCCTTAGACGCCAGGAGTCTGTGGGATGTTGGGGGGCAGTCTTGTACCGCTTTTGTGAGGAAATTGGGAGTAGCTTTTATGCAAAATAATAAGCAACAGAAAGAGTATAATCAAGAGAGTGTGCATCTGGTTAGAATCTGAGGAAGTCCTCTCTAATAGCAGTAAACCTGACATGGAAGGAGGTGACACTGGAGCTAAGGAGGACAGTTAAGGGGGCTCTAGAGTAACCAGCATGGGCTTGATTAGTAATAATTACATGTTAATGCAGAGACAGATACCAGGTGTCATCAATAGGGGATTGTGAATGAATGCCTGTGTGGGCTGAGGGACTGGCAGCAACGGAGGTAGCAAAAGTGGTCCCTGAGATCAAGCTTGGGTAAGTTATCAGTCAAGATCGCCAGGTCACCAGTGAGCACAAGAGAAAAGGGGGGCAGGGCACAAAAGGGAGGTGTGCTACAGTTCAGAACTTCTATACCACTGAGATCTCTCAAATGTGCTTCATCCACTTAAACCTAAGGACATGAGGCTATCATATTCTGTGTCTTAAGGACAGCCATCACAGCAACAGGCTCACAGGAGACCTTTAAGAAGGGCTTGTTCAAACTGATGCATAAACCAAAAGTCAAGAGTGGCCACTTGGGGGAGTCTGGGAAAGCAGATGCCTTCCTGGGCTTGGTATGGGCAGCATGCTGAGTGGAGAAAAGACTCCTAGAGCCCTAGCTTCCAGACTCAGCTGTACAAGGGAACAGACTCACCAATTCACCTCACTGGGACCACC